TTTGCGGAAGAGTTCTTCTGCAAAAACTCTTCCAGAAGAAAGCATCTACTCTGGCATGTGCTATTGTGCAAAAGCATCCATGCCAATGTAGACACCCTCTTGCGCAAGAAAGCTCTGATGGCCATTTTAACCATAGGGCTTTCTTGCACAAGAAATTCATGTTGCCTGTCTACACTGGCTTCTTCCAGAAGAGCTCTTGCACAAGAAGGCTTATAGGAGTGTCAGAGTTCTGGTGCAAGAAGCCCTGATTTTATACAATAGAACGTCAGTTTACTTGTGCAAGAACACACGGCCAGTGTAGACAGGTGGCCACTTTTGTGTGAGATTGCACCAGTGTAGACACAGCCTAACTGTGATTATTTAACACTTCTGTCTGGGGCGGATGTTGGTTTTTTTTTTTATCTAAAGACTTTGCACGAGAATTGGCTTGTTTTTCTAGAGATAGGAAAATGGAAGTATAAGGCAGGATTTGCAAAGTGCTCAGTACTTAGAAACTCCTCCTCTGACACTTTGACAATATGCTGAAAATCCAGCCCATGGCAGTGCGTGTCTTTTTTGTTCTGTGTTTTTGTACCGCTCCAACCCAATGGCATTTTGGGCCATGACTGCACCTCCTGGGTGCTATCAACATAAAATAATTAAATAATAAATACATACATTATTATTATTAATAATAAATACAAGAAGTATCATCTGTTTTAATCACAGGTGTTCTCTGTCTTCAGAACGCTCGAATTTTTAAAGTAATACATAAAGCCAACGCTAGATGGCGCTAGAGACATTCTACTCCTCCACTGAAAAGCAAAAATAAAAACTTCGAAAACTTTGGAAAAGTCGAGGGTATTGCTAAGCCTCTTAATTTAAATGCCACTGCCAAGAGTCCGGTAGCAAGTCCTGAGTCTCGAAGCTGCTGCTTCCTTCTCATTGAATAACAAAGGCCTCTTCCTTGAGTGATCCGCGCAGGGCTGGTTCTGGGGTGCCAGAAATAGCTAAACATGCAGCGATTTGTGGCAAGGCGGAAGCATGTTTGGATTTCATTGGTATGCAGTAAACTCTGTCTCTTTCCTGTGCCTTTCACCGGGAGAGATTCCAACATCTTGTGCTCACTAGAAATCACATAACCTGCCAGTGATGGACGAGGGGTGCTCTGCAGACTCTGGAAAAGGATCAGTGCCTCACTGGCCAACCAGGCAGTTTGAGCCCCGGGCATGGCTGTCTCAGGTGCTGTTGGTTTTCCATTTTTTTCCCCATCACACCTGTGCCGATTATCTACATCGGGTTCTCATGCGTCATCACGCCGTGGCCAGCGTTCCCTGGAAGCTGTGCGCTCTGGCGGCTACTCAGGAGTGACTCCAATGCTGCCCAGCAGATTCACAGAGCGCCCGCAAGCTGGCAACGTGTGTTTCTATTGGTGGTGCACATCCACACACGACAAAGTGCACAGAACAAAATGTATTCTGCACACAGATGGAAACATTTAGCGGGAACATTGACTGCAACCCCCTTCTGAGAACAAAACCTACTTCATTACCCCAGGTGGGGGGATAGACTGCTGAGCCCTCTCAAGCCATGTTGCCCCAGGTGTATGTGGGGGAGGGGGGCAAATTTGAGCTCCACCACTCTGGGCAGGGACAGGGGGGCTGCGACCTGTATCCTGCCTCTGAGGGCTGAAGTCCTTGGGTTTTGGCTTCAGCCCAGGCCAGTGTAGTTCGATCCTGGGCCTCAGCGAATCTAAGCCACTGTCTCCTTTTTTACAAAAAGTAGGCCACACAAAGCTTGATTTCTGTACATCCTTGAGTCGATTCACCTATTAAACAGACCTCAACGACTGTAGCCCTTAGAGCCAAGTGTTACAGAAAGGAACAAATCATAGAATCATAGAACACTAGAACTGGAAGGGACCTCGAGAGAACATCAAGTCCAGTCTCTTGCCCTTACAGAAGGACTAAGCACCGTCTGACAGAAGGTGTCTGTCTAACCTGCTCCTAAATATCTCCAGAGATGGGGATTCCAAACCTCCCTAAGCAATTTATTCCAGTGTTTGACCACCCTGACAAGAAGCTTTTCCTAATGTCCAACCTAAACCTCCCTTGCTACAATCTAAGCCCATTGCTTCGTGTCCGATCCTCAGAGGCCAAGGAGAACAATTTTTCTCCCTGTATCATTGCAGCTTTTGCTGATAATATACATATTCAGAATCCAAAAATATGCCTGAGGCATCTTTTTTGGGTTGAGAGCCACTGACCCATAGAAAAATCAGTCAAGGGCCACACACAAGGAAGAAGCAAAACCAAAAAACAAACCTGTCTCTGACGTGGCCCCGAGTGAAAAGGAGAAACACCCTCCCTGTATTTCCCTCACACACCAGTACCGAGGAGGGCCCAGATTAGTAGATTTTGTGTGCTCCAGCCCCATGGTGGGCACTGAGGATGGGGGCTGCATGTGGCACCCGAGTCTTAGGTTCTCCACCCCTGGCTTAAATTGATGATAACTTTCCCATGCGCTAGTGAACTTTTTCTTCTTAGACATGAAGTGAGAATCGGAGATGATCCCATAGTGGCAAACGGGGGGGATCTGGTTTTTGCCAACAAATTTAGGGGGAAATGAACCGTTCCGTGATTTCATTTCAGGTGCTGCCTGAATTAGGGTGGCAGGCTCAAGGGAAACCGCTGACGCACTGCGTCCTCCTCCGCAGTAGAATCCCTCCCCGATGGAGTTGTCTCACGTGACGTTACTGGGCGGGTAACAGGGATGGTAATAAATGTCTTTGATCTCAAGGCTGCTTTTGTGTTATTAACACGGGTTGTATTTGGGAGAAAGTTGAGTGTTAGACGTGCGTTAGCAGTGATCTAAGGGTCTAAATGCTTTTGAGAGTCTTGGCCTAACTTCTGTTAGGCACTAGAGAGTTAGGCACTAAGGGTACGTCCAGACAGCATCGCTCTGTCGGCAGAGGGATGCAGTTTAGGCAGGTCGACAATGCAAATGAGGCAGGGATTTAAATATCCCCCATCTAATTTGCTTAAAAATGGCCGCCACGTTTTGCAGACTCAGCACTTTGTCGGCAAAAAGCGGCAGTCTAGGGGAGGATCTGTCGAGAAAGAAAGCCTTTTCCGACAGATCGCTTATGCCTCCTGCAAGGAGGTTTACAGGATCAGTCGAAAAAGGCTTTCTTTCTCAACAGCTCCCCTTCTAGACTGCCGCTTTTTGCCGACAAAGTGCTGAGCCGGCAAAACGTGACGGCCATTTTTATGCAAATTAGGCACGGGATATTTAAATCCCTGCCTCATTTGCAATGTCGTCCTGCCTAGACTGCATCCCTCTGCTGACAGAGGGATGCAGTTTAGACATACCTTAAGGCTACGTCAAGACTGGCATGATTTTCCGCAAATGCTTTTAACGTAATAGTTTTTCCATTAAAAGCATTTGCAGAAAAGAGCATCTAGATTGGCACGGACGCTTTTCTGCAAAAGCACTTTTTGCGGAAAAGCGTCCGTGCCAATCTAGACGCGGTTTTGCGCAAGAAAGCCCCAATCGCCATTTTCGCCATCGGGGCTTTTTTGCGCAAAACAATACCACATTGTTTACACTGGCCCTCTTGTGCAAAAGCATTTGCGCAAGAGGGCTTTTGCCCGAACGGGAGCAGCATAGTATTTCCGCAAGAACACTGACAATCTTACATGAGATCGTCAGTGTTCTTGCAGAAATTCAAGAGGCCAGTGTAGACAGCTGGCAAGTTTTTCTGCAAAAGAGGCCGCTTTTGTGGAAAAACTTGCCAGTCTAGACGCAGCCTAAGTGTACAGGTCAAACCTCCCTGGGCCGGAACGCTCTGGTCTGGAGCACGGATGCTGCTGGAAGACCAGAGACCAAAGCTGGCTGCCTTTGACAACACGGTGTTCATTTTTTAAGCCACATGCATCCTGAATTAAATCCTGCCTTAACCAGTGCAACTTAGATTTCAGCCTAAGAGGGAAGAGGCTTTAAACTGCCTAGGATTTGTGCAACCTACAGGGATTATTTTGCCAGGCTGACCCAACAAACGCAGTTGCACCTTGACACGGACTAATTGCACTGCGAAGCAGAATGATACCAGGTACTGTGGCTTGTATGCGCTCACCACGTTGATTGTGCTAGCGTTTATTTGTTAATGCTCCCCACATGCTATATGATAAACCGATGCATTCTGCCATCCTTCAGGGCTTACGTCTCACTCTGTCACTGTTTTTGCTGGGCCCTGTCTTGCAGTTCTGTGGAATGCTTCACCACTGCTTTCAGTCTACAGCAGCTTCTTTATAGGCACATGTGCTACTGCACTCACCTGGATGGAATCGGAACTGATCCTCTGTGTGTCATAGGCTCCATACTGCTAATGGCTAGTGCAGATTTTTGTTTCACTCACTTCAAAGGGCTTGTGTTTTGGAGGTCTCCGTTTTAGTCTTGCTGTCTCCTTGAAGGTCTGAGCTAGTGCAGCAGAGTGGTGCCTGTGACGTTTTAGGGCACCAGGGGTCTGTTAGAATGTTGATTGCATCTTAAACTTAACAGTCTCGGTGGAAGACAGATGTGGTAAAGGGATCCATTCAAAATTCTCCTAGAACCTGATCCAGTGCTCAAGAAAAGAATTAGTACTAGGGGCACAAAGAAAGAAGCATTCACATAGCTTGAATTCCAGCTTTGTCTCCTTTGTTTACCAGGGATTACAATTAGGCTGTAATCTCATCTTTCATTTCAATTAGCTTTAGATCAGACCCTTAGAGAGCAAAAAATCCTCTCTCTCTCTCTCTCTCTCTCACACACACACACACACAGAGTTTTGCATTCCGCTAACAACTGCACTGGAACAATGAGTTTGGAATTTATTGTGTGTTTGCTAACGTGGCATTCAACAGAATCGGTGTGTATTCATTGGCCACAGAAGGTAAAAAAAATCCACGTCGCTGTGTATCCATCTGTAGCTGGAGTTGCTGCCTCAGCATAGCTAATGATAAATCTAAGGGTGTCTGAATATGTCTAACTTGGCAATCGGAGTTTGGAACTGTATGTATGTCTCAGGTTAACAGTGCCCCTGTATTTACAGGCCACTTTGACTGCCTGTCATTCGGGGACAATTCTTGCACCACATTTCAGCAATTCCTACTATGCCTTCAGTCAGGTAAGTTGGGAACCTGGTGGGTTCATCTCTTAATGTGATGTCACTGGCATTTACAGTCAAGATTGCTGGCGGGAAAAAGCACTGGTGACCCAACAAGAGTCTGGTGTATTGGTTATTTATATTTCCTACATTCAGGTATGGCCAGAGGTGGTGACTTCCTCCTGGCTTTGGTGGGGGGATTGCTTAAAGCCCCCACCCGTCTGCCCTAGATCCTGCCCTCACCTAATCTCTCCCTGCAAATCTCCACCCCCGTCCCACCTCTTCCCACCCTTTCTTCGTCCCTCGTCCTGCCCCTACCCAGACTTTCCCTTGAGTCGCTACCCTTGACGTGCCTCATACTGTCCCCGCTCCACCTCTTACCAGCCCCTCCCTGAGCATGGCCTGTCCCCTCTGCTTCCTCTCCCTCCCAGAGTCTCTTGCATGCTGTGAAACAGCTGAGCTCCAGCAGGCAGTGCTCAGAGGCCCCGGTATACAAGCTCACAGAGATAGCCTCAGCCCCAAAGACAAGACACCAAACGTTTTACTACTACATGTGGCACAGAGACACTGATTAGCCCAAGATCACATAGTTCGTCAGTGGCAGAGTTGGGAAATGAACCCTGATCTCCTGAGCAGAGCTGGCTGGGAACTTACTGTTGGAATGCTATTTTTGGATGGGCAAAGTAGTTGTTATAAGACAGACATTTTTCATGGTAAAAATACAATTTTGGTTTTTTTTGTTCAAAATGTCTGTTGGGAAAATCACAATGAAACATTTTGCTTGAGGCTAGGTTGGTCTGACATGAAATATTTTGGTTTGTTGAACTGACTTGAAACGGTGACCTGTGGAACTCCCTGTCACTAGATATTATGCAGAGTAAGATTCAAACAAGGATTTGAGATTGCTGTGGCTAATGAGATCACCCATGGCTGTGTTAGACAGGCTAATAAAATATGAGCTGCACACACTTAATTTCAGGTCGGTTCAACAATGCATCGCAATTCGTGATTATAGAGCACTGCCTCATGGGAATTGTAGTTCAGTCCCCCATTTTTCATGATGGGCTGGGCTCCTTGGCATGGCTATGTCTCCTATTCTACAATCTGTTTTCTCCTCTATCCTATCTGAGTGGTGCATCATGGGAGTCTTAGTGGAGTCAGGGGATTTGGCCCATGAGAGAACATGGCAGCATATAGCCCCTGAACTACAATTCCCATCAAGCAATGCACAGCCATGAGGCAATGCAATTTAATTATGTAATGACTCAAAATGAAGTGTTCTGGGGCAGGTCAACCAACTGAAATAAGTGTTTTGTTTTGAATGGAAAATGTCAACACAGTCTGCTTTCCCATTTCCAAATTAAAATATAAGGGAATGTTGTATTCTGTCCTGCCAAAAATGTTATTTCCACTTCTTTGACCTGATTTGGGGTGAGAATAAGTGTTGAAATAGCAGAATTTCCCACGGGTTTGAAATTCCAAATATTTCTCACGCTGCTCTATGTCTTAGTCGGCACCTGGAAAGGTTACACGGTACCAACCCACGTATTCCTAGATCTCAGTGGTTGGCTGTAAATCCTGATCTGCAAACTAATGATGGCGTAGGTGAGATAGATCAGACTCTCCTACTTACCTCTTTTCCTAATACAAGCACCACATTTAAAACAGATAGAAGGAAATCCTTTTTAGATAGCGTACAGATGACCTGTGGAACTCCCTGCCGCAAGATGTTATTGAGGGTCAGAGCATAGTATGAGTCATTTTGGGAGAGAGGAAGGTCTTCCCTCTGAATATTTTAGAAGTTTGGAACTGTTACATCTATGAGGAAGATGAACACAGTAGACCCACCCAAAATATAACCCAGACAGTCCAGGTGAAAACCAAATAGGTGGGGACCCTAGAGAGAGAATCTCAGGAGCGACTCTGTTCCCTGTTGCAACACCCAACACTAAGAATATGACATGGTGATGCTTTAGCCGTTCCACAGCAGGAACCTCAGAATTTGGACGTGAGATGGGTTTGAACCCAAGAACTCTGCCCCTAAAGTCTGTGTATCTTTGGGGAAGGGTGCAGGTTTGAACCCCTCTTCATTACTAGCCATTTACATGATTAAAAACAGTGCACTGAAATACAACATAACAACGTAAAAACGGCCAGACGGGGTCAGACCAAAGGTCCATCTAGGCCAGTCTCCTGTCTGCCGACAATGGCCAATGCCAGATGCCTGAGAGGGAATGAACAGAACAGGGAATCATCAAATGATCTCTCCCCTGTCACCCATTCCCGGCTTCTGACAAACAGAGGCTGCTGGCACCGTTTCTGCCCTTCTTGCCTAATAGCCATTGATGGATCTATCCTTCATGAATTTATCTAGCTCTTTTTGGAACCCGGTTATAGTCTTGGCTTTCACAACATCCTTTGGCAAGGAGTTCCACAGGTTGACTGTTCATTGTGTGAAAAAATACTGCCCTCTGCTGGCTATTAATTTCATTTGGTGACCCCTAGTTCTTACGATATGGGAAGGAGACAATAACACTTCTTTATTCATTTTTTCCATGCCTGCCATAATTTTACAGACCTCTGTCATATCCCCCTTAGTGGTCTCTCTTCCAAACTGAAGGAGACGCCTAAGGAGGGATATGATAGAGGTCTGTAAAATCATGACTGGAGTAGAAAAATAGTAGAAATCATCTAATTTAGGGATTTCTATAGGACCCATAACTGTGATATCAAAATATTTCCTTGATAAATTAGAGCTGCATAAATCCCCCGTGTTCTGTTTATGGGGATCTTTTCCTTTTCCTGATTAGAGGATGTGTAGTGTGTAAGTGTATAAAATAACATTCCAACTATCAATATGCATTTACCTTTTCCATCTATAAACTATCTGGCTCTGCTTTATTTATATAGAATTAGGCTTTGCCCCAGAAATGTTGCCCCAAAATTAAACTGAGCTTTGTATCTGACACTTTTGCTTGTCGCTGTGAAATATACCAGTATTATCAGGGAATAGACGCAATATTCATGCATGAGCAATACTGGGATCGTTTGAGAAACAACCAACCCCATAATAGCTCCAGTTTGGGTCTTGAACGAAGGAGATGACCTCACAGAACCGAAATGAGATGAGCTGGATTTCTGATACAATCTCGCCTTCCTCCCTAATGGATATGCAGTTATTCCCCTCGATAATAAAGGTTTTCCTTTCTTGAAATGGGAAACGCAGCGAGGGTGAAAAGGGTATTGAAAATGCTTCTGCTCTAATATGAGGGTGCAATGCTTTCTTTCTCAGGAATGAGTTTGCAATGGAAGGAAAAAATGACCCTAGAGTTTCAGATTTTGGGGGCTCAGCAAAAGATACCAGAAAAGGGACTGATTGCTAGAAAGTGCTGCCCTTGAAAAAGGGGCCCTGTAAGGTGTCAAAAGATGGGACCTCAAAATTACTAGCCAGTTCTGAAAATGGTGGCCATTGGCCCTATAGGTCCTCAGCGTCACCTGCCTTGCTGCCCATGTAAGACGAGTGTGCAGTGAGTTCACCTTACGGAAAATGTAGGAATGTAGGACAGAGAATTGAAAGGGCTCATGAAATCCAGTTCCCTGTTGCTCCAGACAACCTCATCTTAGAACCCAATTTGTTAATTTATCAATCTCCATCTCTAAATGAGCTTAGTTGCTCACTCTTAGTTGAATACTCCTGCTGGGGGGCTATCCAGAGCCTCACTCCTCTGATGCTTAGAAATCATCTTCTAATTTCCAGCCGAAATTTGCTCATGGTGAGTTTATGCCCATTTTGTTTTTCCTGGTGTCCACCTCCTGATGTGTTTATAGAGGACAATCGGATTCCCTCTGAGGTCACGTCTTCACTTCCTGGAAGATCGACGCTGCGGCAGTGGATCTTTCGGAGTTCGATTAAGCAGGCCTGGTAAAGACCCGCTAAATCGAATGCTGAGCACGCTCCCATTGATGCCGAAACTCCTACTCCTTGTGAGGAGTAAGGGAAGTCAATGGGAGTGTTTTTTCCATTGACCTTCCACTGTGCAGAAGGCGTCGAAGATCGAACTAAGGTACGTCAACTCCAGCTATGCAATTAACATAGCTGGAGCTGTGTATCTTAATTTGACCTTCCACACAAGTATAGACCAGGCCTGAGTCTTCCTTGTGCTAGGCTGGACAAGGCGAGTTCTTTTAGGTTCCATCCATGCTACAAGCCAAGGGTGTGATGATTTTTCTCCCCAGACTTGTGTGCATATATTCATGCCACATCTCCTTGAGCTAGCACAAGTACACAGAGCAGTGTCACCACAGTGGCATGGCTGGCAGCTGTGTATAAACCCGCGAGCTAGTGCACAGGCATGCACGAAAGCAGAGGATCACACTGAGAGCTGATAGGCTGCATCTGCACTTAATCTCCTTTCAACAAATTCCTCTCACAACCCTAATAGCCCATGGCATAGTTTGAATTCATCTTCCTTGAACAAGGATGACCAGAGTTGCACACATTCCTCCTTGGGGATAGGATAGAGATCTATAAAATCACAATTGGGGTGGAAAAAGTGAATAAGAAAAAGTTATTTACTTATTCCCACAATATAAGAACTAGGGGACACCAAATGAAATGAATAGGCAGCAGGTTTAAAACAAACGAAAGGAAGTTTTTCTTCACTCAACACACAGTAAACCTGTGGAACTCCTTGCCAGATGATGTTGTGAAGACCTGGGTTCAAAAAAGAACTAGATAGATTCATGGAAGTTAGGTCCATCAGTGGCTAACCTAATGGTTAGGGCCATTAGCCAAGATGGGTAGGAATGGTGTCCCTAGCCTCTGTTTGTCTGGAAATGGATGACAGGGGAGGGATCACTTGATGATTACCTGTTCTGTTCCCTCCCTCTGGGGCATCTGGGATTGGCCACTGTCGGCAGACAGGATACTGGGCTAAATGGACCTTTGGTCTGACCCAGTCTGGCCATTCTTATGTTCTTGTGTTCTGTTGTGGTCTGGTTAGTCCCTTCTACAATGGCAT